CATGGGTGCCACATGCGACATGACGACCATCGTATCCAGCCGCTGGCCGAACTTGCTGAAAGACCGCCGCACTCGACATAACGGTGGAAGAAGGCCGAGTCAGTGGCAGGATTCTTGGTGGCTTCAGGAAGGGCGTCACCACTGCACGTCCAGTGCTGCCAGGGGCTCGATGAGTCGTGAAGGACTGGATAGCTGCACCCCATCCTGGACAATCTGCGCTGGGAGCCGCTCGTGGGCGGTGATGGCCACATGCAGGTATCGTCGACGAATTTTCACCACATTCAGTGCGCCATCCAGCAGGGGGGAAGCCGCAACGTCCTCTTGGAGGCCTTGGTTGATTTGTGTCCTGGTCGACGAACTGATCGCGCACCACCTGCAGACGCCAGCAAACATTCAAAGAATGCCGTGACGGGCTCGACACCGTGCGACAGTGCAGCATAGCCCACTTGACGTATTCTTCAATGCTGTCGATGAAGTGAAGCTCTGGAGGGCGCACGTCGAAGAGTGTGACGGCATCATCATCCGGTCGGCAATGTGGAATTGCTGATTGTCAGTCAGCTGCCGGTACGCAGGCAACGCCGGCGAGCTGGTTGGCTTGGACACCGGCGGGCGTTGGTCTCCTTCTGTATTCCTCTTCTCACTCTGTCCTTTTCTCCCCAACCCCCAGCGACGAGACACTCTACGTGTATCAGGACGGCGAACAAGTCCCGGCAGATGCCCAGGTGTACCACACTCACTGCCCGTACGTCACCTGCAACGAACCATACATCGTCAAATACAAAATCGTCAAGGCGTAAGCTCTACACATACATACAGTCACGCACACGAGCACAATCACACATCCATCCCATTTCCTTCCTTCCTTCTTACCTTGTTCACCTACAGCAATTCAGTGCCAAGTGCGCCTTCAGCGTCGTTCAGCAGTGCTTCCAGCAGCGCACCCGCGTCCAGCAGTGCATCCAGCAGTGCACTTGCCACCATCACTGAGTAGCCTACGCACACACACACACACACACAAATGCATGCAAAGACGTGGTTCTCTGTGCCCTGTGCTTTTCACCTGCATGTATATCTCCCCCACCTGCACCCACACGCACACCATCGCAATCACACCACAGACCAACTCAACACACCTGCACCGTCTTCCACACGAACGACAACACATCGCCTGGACACACACAGCAGCACATAACTCAACGCCACCTGCACCACACACGCACAGCACCGCAATGAATACGCGTCGGCCGATGGATGGACGCGTCTCCTCGTCAGAAGCAACGCTGCTGGGAGCAGGTGCCTGTACATACACAACACAACCGTCTTCCACACGCACGAAACGCACAGCCCCTCATCTGCACCGAAGTCCGACTTCTTCCGCGTGAAATTCACCTCCAGATGTGGCCTTTTCCCCGTCTGCCTGTCTTCCATGACTTTGACACCTTCAGATGTGGCCTTCTTTCGTTGTCTTCCATGGTTTCCCGCTCTCAATTACCAAACTCCAAGCTCCCTGATGACCCACACACGTGCATAGAAGCTGTTTGGCGGTGGGAACGCTCCGCTGTTGGATGTTGCTCAGACATGAACTCTCCTCGCGGTTTTTAGTTGTCTCCTCGGGAACTTCGTCTGTGCGAGCTGCATGTCGATGGAACCCCCCGCGAACGCGGGTCGGCGAACGGTTACGAAGGGGGAGGGGCCCCCGAATAATGGGAGGCGATGTCGGTCAGTCCGGTCGGTCGAGGCGATCGGCAAAGGGACAGCATACAAAACTGGCAGGATCGAAATGATCTCTAATGTTGGTCCCATTAGTGAGTCCATGTTGTATGACCTTCGTGTCGGCCTTGTGTTGGAATTTATCAACGCTGCTTTGTAATGAGTGAATCTTCGAAAAGAGAGGGAGGATTCTCTGTAGCCCCCGTTTTTCACGGTTCTGAAAGGAAAAAGCAGAGCGATGAGTCCTTTTCTCAGACCAAAGAATAAAGGGTCTGGTGCTTTAGGCCCGCTTGCCAAGCTCGCATCGTGAAACTAGTATGAGTAAGGAATTCCTCGTCAAGAGTAAGGAATTCCTTATCGAGTAAGGAATTCCTTATCGAAAGGGCCCATTCCGGCGACATTTGCTTCATCTGGGCAGCGATTTTTCCGACCCATCCGCATCCATCTTTGCCTTCGTCGATTTCAAGCATCTGAGCCTTCCGTTCCCCCCAGAGGTACTTGTGCTCTCAGCCGTCGTCAGCAAGGCCACTGCACGGAGAGGTGTCTCCGCGTCCCTCCATCCAACACCTCACCCCACCGTGATCATCCCAGCCGGCCAGAACAGGCCGAAGACCGCAGACGAGGGCTGTCTTCGCCAGATCCACGCACCCAGCTTCTCCCCGACAAGATCTCGTGGTCGAGACGTCATCTCCGCAGCTCGGCGGGTTCGTTTGAGTAATAGCTCCATCGTACCAGCCCCTGGTATCTCGTGCTTCCTCTGCTGATTGGCGCCTCTGCGCGTGGCCGACAAAGACAGGAAGAGCGGGTAAAGGGATAGGACTGATAGGACGGACACTGACTAGTCTTGACACGTGTGCATTTGTGCGTTCGACTTGTGTGTGTGCGTAGCCAGTGTGGCATTGTGACTCGTTGCCTTTGACTCATCATGACATCAGGTGCTGCAGGGTGATCAGAAAGGGGTATCTGAATCATTGATGAGAATCGTGACTGATTGATTCGATCCTCATAGAGAAACGCTTCGCTAGGAAAGGGAGGGAAGCGTACATCTTCCCTTGTCCTCGCTGTGCCTCTCCTTTTGGTTTCACGGTGGCACCAAACAACGGAAGGAAGGTGCCCTACAAGATCAGGGGTGCTTCGGAAGCACCCCTTCGAGAAACCCTAGGAACCCTAGACAGGGCGAAGAGGAGAATCACCCTTTGACCTCATCGCCAATTGCCGACATTCAGTGTGCAGCAGTTGTTTCATTCGCTTTTCATCGTTTCGACCTCCCTGTGTTGCTTCCCATCGTCAGCACAGGCAGATTCAGACCAGTTGTTGTGAGCAGCAGCTAGGTGTGTGCATCGTGTGTCACGAGTGACCGCGACTGGCTCCCCCCGTATCGCTGGTTAGGGGGTAGCTCAGATCCTTTCCGACAAAAGTAAAAAATAACCGCGCAGATGGTGTGATTCAATCGGATATATACACCGGGGGTCCACTCGCAAACGTCGAGAATCTCGACGTGCAGGCCCCATTTTGCGTGTGACCCCCACAAAATGAAATTGCAGAGAAGCAGCCCGCCCAGATTGTGTGACACCAATGTGAACCGGCCTGGTGAGAGCCTCTCACACACCAAGCAGCAGCTCCCCGCTCGGTCACGTTCTTTCACAATTGGCACCCTTCTGACAGCGCTCCGTTCTCAGCAACCAAAGCA